GATCAATATAGTCATGTCAGTGTTTTATAACGTTACACACGATTAAAAAAAAGGTCAGAGTAACGCCTGTTATAAAGCTATTTCTGATGTTCTCTGCATGATAATGCTCCACCTTGTCCTCCATGCAGCAGTTCAGATCTGCTCCAGCTTACCTTAGATCATCTGGATGAATTCTTGATTTCTATAGAAGATATTAATTCAAACTTTATTTAAACAGGTTAGTCCCATTGAGCCACAAGGACTCTTTTACAAGAGAGACCTGAATATAATTGTTGTATTTGTCGTTTTTTTTATGGTAACCAAGTACCTGGATAACTGAGTTGATTGTGCTTGTAGCCTGACAACTATTGTAAAATTGTAATTCATTGATTAAAATGTTAATTTAAATTAAACTGTTTCTAGTTAAAATCATAACAGAGGACAAAATAAGTGTTAATTGTGCAAAAATAAATTTCCAAACAATTTATTGTAAAATGTAAAACAAGCTTTAATAAAGTACTTTTACTAGTATTTATACTGTTTATTAATGACATCATCTCAAGTCAGCAGGAGCACCATCATCATCATCACAACAACACAAACTGAGTGCTGTAAATTTAATCTGCACAAACATTTTCAATCAGGGCTCAAAATGTTTAAATGTCAAAGAAATGTGCAAGAAAATAAACTACTATCACTCTACAGGCACATTTAGAGAGAGGACAGTTCACAGAGACACAGTGAGGACGTGTGAGACTGAAGGAGGTTCAACCATTTGTTCATGGACCAGAACCAAATGAGAAGAACAGCAGAACTTCCACTGAATCTGACCAGTGATCACACATGTTGTTCTAAATAAAACTTTGGTACGAACAGTGTTAAATAAGACATGTCATATTTTTTTATTGAACAATAATCTTCATTCTAACAGTGACATTGTAATTTCAGAGACTGAGGAAGGAAGAAACAGAAATGAGGCGAGTGAGATGAGGGAAAGATGAAAATGTGTCCTCAGAGGATGGGGACATGTCAGGAACTGATGATCCAGGATCAACAGGACCAGGAGGATGAATCAACAGGCAGTCAGGGAACAGAGATGAAAAACCTGAGGAACAATTAGAACACAAAAAAATACATAAGCAGGACAGAAGAAACTCACAGACAAGAAAATTAACTCAGTCCTGCGAAGAAAAGTGTTAACAATGGAAAAGAAATTCTGACATTTTTTTTTACAAAAGATCAGATGAAGATAACTGGCATGAAGAATAACTTCCCAGCTCCATCTCAATGTACCTGTGATAGTCAAGTCAACAACAACAACAACAACAACAACAACAACAACAACAACAACAACAACAACAACAACAACAACAACCAATGAGTAAAATTAAAGAGAGCGAGGAAAAAAAAAAAATATATATGTATATAGAATTTCTCGGTGCGGCCAGCTGGCAGAGGGTTTCCGGTTCGGTGACCTCAGGATTCCATCTCTGCTCTTTGCAGATGATGTGGTCCTCTTGGCGTCATCATGCCGTGATCTTCAGCTCTCACTGGAGCAGTTCGCAGCTGAGTGTGAAGCGGCTGGGATGAGAATTAGCACCTCCAAATCTGAGGCCATGGTCCTCAACCGGAAAACGGTGGATTGCTCTCTTCAGGTCAAGGGTAAGGTTCTGCCTCAAGTGGAGGAGTTCAAGTATCTCTGGGTTTTGTTTATGAGTGAGGGAAGAATGGAGCGTGAGATTGACAGATGGCTTGGTGCAGCATATGCAGTATTGCAGACTCTGTACCAGTCCATTGTGGTGAAGAGAGAGCTGACCTGTAAGGCAAAGCTCTCTGTTTACCAGTTGGTCTACATTCCTACCCTCACCTATGGTCATGAGCTCTGGGTAGTGACCAAAAGAATAAGAATGCGGATACAGGAGGTTGAAATGAGTTTTCTCCGCAGGGTAGCTGGACTCTCCCTTAGAGATAGGGTGAGAATTTCAGTTATCTGGGAGAGACTCGGAGTACAACCGCTACTCTTCCATGTCGAGAGGAGCCAGTTGAGGTGGTTTGGGCATCTGGTAAGGATGCCCCCTGGGTGCCTCCCTAGGGAGGTGCTTCGGGCATGTCCAACTGGGAGGAGACTCCGGGGAAGACCCAGGACATGCTGGAGAGATATGTCTCTTGGTTGACCAGGGAATGCCTTGGAATCCTCCCAGAAGAGCTGGAAGAGGTGGCTGTGGAAAGAGATGTCTGGGCCTCCCTGCTCAAGCTGCTGCCCCCACGACCCGACTTCGGAATAAGTGGAAGATAATGGATGGATGGTAAGATCATATTGACCAGGGTAAAATGCTAGCCAAATCAGTCGTAAGCTCTATGGAGTCTTGCATTGTAAGGGCTGTGATTTTTGCTGCAGCATTAAAACAGCAACTAACACTCCCAACAGTATTTTAAAACAAAAAGGCAACTCATCGTCGAGTAGATGATTGAATACTTTCAAATTTTGCTGATTGTAGAGCTCACCAAAGTTGTAGCAACAACAGCGTAGTCGCAAACAGCTAAGCAGCAGCTTGACACAGCAAGCAAGGGTGTGGCTCAGTCCGGTGTACTGTCGGGTCCGGACAGAATCATCACTCGGTCTGAATACGGACCGACCAAGAGACCTCGGGCATAACACGTACCTGCAGCCATCCTGGTTGTGAGTGTCACTGTTGCACAATATGTTCCCGGAAGAAGAAAAAAAATCTGTTCCGTGACCGAAAGCACACGATCGGTACCGATCGGTACAGATCGTGTTCGACCGTGCCTCCAGGTGCAAATATCTGCGCCCAGATTATTTTTATCTCTTGTAACGAAGAAGAATAAATGCGCATGTGCAATTTTTAACAAGAGTCTATGGAAAATATTCTTGCGCCCCCAGAGGCCAGAAATACGCCATCAATAAGACAAGGTTTTTGAAAGAAACAACTCATCATTAACTATAAAATATTTATCTTACACGACTAAAAAATATATAGATATATTTCGAAATAATCTAATATTATTTAAATTTTTTAAGTCTTCAATGTAAAATTGTGAGTGGTTCCAGTGGATGGGCAGTGCCCGAGCACCCCCTACAGAGGAGCCGCCATTGCTTAGCATACTCCGTTCTACCAGCACTGGCTGTCCTCAAGGGTGTGTTGTATTTTCACTGTTGTTTATTCTGTACACAAACTCCTGCAGAAGTACTTTCCCAAATAGACATCTAATTAAATATGCAGATGACATGGCCCTGGTAAACCTTTTAAACAACAAGAGGAGCATGGACCACTTCTGGACATCTTCATTAATTGGTGCAAAATATCCAAATTGGTTCTGATCATGAAAAAAACAAAAATGACTATTGACTTCAAGAAGCTTCAGTCATTCTCTCCAACCACCATTGATGGAGAGTAGACTGAAACTGTCTCATGCTACAAGTACCTGGGCGTGATTCTGGACTGTCTCTTAAAGTGGGACTCGTGGGCTGACCTTATTAGCACCAAGGCTCAGCAGAGGATGTACTTTTTTAAAGAATCTGGGGTCTTTTAGAGTCAATAACGCAATGCTTTTAATGATTTATTCAGCTTTTGTTGAGGGCATTTTAACATTTTGTCACATCTGTTGGTTTGGCAATACTACAAAGGCTCAGAAGAAATCCTCGAGAAGTATAGTAACACAGCCAGCAAACTGTTAGGAACCACTCTGCTGAGTATGGAAAAAATATAAATGGACAGAGTTATGAGGAAGGCAAACAAGATTGTAAAAGACAATACACATCCCCTAAGATCCTCATTGCTTCAGGGCGAAGGTACTGCCTTCCTTTATTCTCAAGAAACAGGACAAAATTTTCTTTCATACCACAAGCGATTAAATCATTAAACAAAAAAAAGGTATCAAAACTTACTGAGCTCAAACTTCTTTGCCATAATGATGGATGTTAATGTCATGTTTGTATATGTACCTGTATGTCCTTTCTGTAAATGCCTGCTGACAATGATACAAACCAATTTCCCTAAAGGGACAAATAAAGCTATGTATCCATCTAATCAAAGCCAGACAGTTGATTCACGGTCACGCGATTGAAGGGCAGGTGAATCTGCTCTGAGAACAAAATGACACGATTTTCATCATGCATCTACATCAATAAGAGTGGATTTTGCTGCTTGGGATGGAGCATGCAGGGCCCCTTGAGGCAGAGACTGTCCTAACACAGTGGGGGCATTGAACCTGTTCTAGAAACTACTCTTTCAATATTTCAATCACTCTCGTCCCTTGTTAGAACATTGTAATTTCTACTTATACTAATCCTAACCTGCTGCACATCCTTTCAAACCTGATCCCTCTGTTTTGCCAGTTGATATAAGCCCTTATCTCGCTCTTTAGTGTTCAAATTCTTTGTTGTCATACAAACAAAATATACACTACGAATTAAAATTTGGTTGGTATGCATAACTTTATTTATGTATTTATTCAGTATTAAACAGGTACACTGAAGATTGTTATATACTTGCAACTGCAGTCTGTGAATGTTATGTACTTTACAAGAAAAAAGCATAACATGAGTGGAAATAAATTTTATAGGAGTGTTGGAGACAGATAAATGTTTCTCAGTTAAAACTAGAGAAATTATGTTGTCCATCACAAGATTCACGCATGTAAAAAAAATTTAACTAAATATATTAGTGAGTGGCAGCACGGTGGCGCAATTGGTAGAGCTGCTGCCTCTCAGCGAGCAGGTCCCTGGTTCAAATCCCGGTCCGGAGGCCTTACTGAGTGGAGTTTGCATGTTCTCTCCGTGCATGCGTGGGTTTTCTCCGGGTTCTCCTATTTCCTCCCACAGACCAAAAACATGCATGTTAGGCTGATCGGTAACTCTAAATTGTCCCTAGGTGTGAGAGAAACAGTGAATGGTTGTTTGTCTCGTTTGTCTCTATGTGGCCCTGTGATGGACTTGCGACCCGTCCAGGGTGTACCCCGCCCATCACACAGTGATTGCTGGACATGGGCACCGGCGACCCCCGTGACCCAAAATGGAAGAGGCTAGTAAAAGATAATGGATGGATGGATATTAGTGAGCATGAGTGGCTTCTTGCCTATGAGTTCTTTCAAATTACCTTTTCTCCCCAGTGTGGATTCTCATGTGCTTGTTTAAATTGGCCATAGTGGTAAACATTTGGTCACAAAACTGACAACAAAATGGCTTCTGTTCTGTGTGGATTTTCATGTGTTTTATCAAACTGGCCTTTAAAGTAAACCTTTTTTCACACAGATCACAAGAAAATGGCTTCTCTCCCCTGTGAAATCTCATATGTCTATTTAAACCTCCCTTTAGAATAAACCTTCGTTCACACATATCACATGAAAAGGGCTTCTGTCCTGTGTGTATCATCATATGTTTTTTTAAATTGTCATTTTGGGTAAACTTTTTACAACACTGATCACAAGAAAAAGGCTTCTGTCCTGTATGGATTAGCATATGTTTTTTTAAACCACCCTTTATAGTAAACCTTTTTTCACACAGATCACAAGAAAATGGCTTCTGTCCTGTGTGAATTCTTATGTGTCTATTTAAACAGCCCATTCTTGTAAACCGTTGACCACATAGATCACAACAAAATGGTTTCTGTCCAGTGTGGATTTTCATGTGTTTTTTCAAACTGGCCTTTTCAGTAAACCTTTTTTCACACAGATCACAAGAGAATGGCTTCTGTCCTGTGTGGATTATCATGTGTCTCTTTAAATTACCCTTTCCAGTAAACTTTTGTTCACATAGATCACAAGAGAAGGGCTTCTGTCCTGTGTGGATTATCATGTGTCTCTTTAAGCTACCCTTTTCAGTAAAACTTTTTTCACACAAATCACAAGTAAAGGGCTTCTGTCCTGTGTGGATTATCATGTGTTGTTTTAAATTACCCTTTACAGTAAACTTTTTTTCACACTGATCACAAGAAAAGGGCTTCTGTCCCGTGTGGATTATCATGTGTTTTTTTAAACCACCCTTTAGAGTAAACCTTTTTTCACACAGGTCACAAGAAAATGGTTTCTGTCCTGTGTGGATCATCATGTGTCTGGTTAAATTGCCCTTTATGCTAAATCTTTTGTCACACAGATCACAACAAAATGGCTTCTGTCCTGTGTGGATTATCATGTGTGTGTTTAAATGTATCTTATGATTGAACCTTTGCCCACAAACATCACAACCAAATGGCTTCAGTCCATCTTTGTTGTGGACCCTGTTCACAATTGACTCAGACACCCTGCTGGGTGAAGACTCCTGGGCTTCATCATTGTGTACAGTTTTTAACCCAAAGTCTGATAAAAGTTTCAGCTGAGACTCAGGATTGTTCACATCATTATCATCTTCATCATCTTCACTAACTTCAGTTTCTGAAGAATCAGAATCTCTATTAGCATTTAGATCTGTTTTTTTTGTATCTTTTTCTCCTTCACCAATTGATGATTCTATGTGGTCACCTGAACTGCTGTTTGGAAGATCACGGACTTCAGCTTTGTTTTGATGAAACTGTGAGAACAGAGGTTTCTCTTCATCATCCTCACTCTTAAAAGGAACTGCAGTTAATGAAAAGCTGGTGACATCTGTCTCCTCCTTCATACTGAGCTGCTCTCCTCCCAAAATGGTCCACTGTTCCTCCTCTTCCTCTTTTATGTGGAGACAATTTGTGTCCTGCTGGTCCACATCAGGCCACTGTTCTTCAGGAGCTTCTTCTTTAATCAGCACTGACTTCTGATCATCTGCAGGAACCACTGGAACACATGTTGAGATCATCAGACCAGCTGCTTTTGATGGTACCAAAAACCAGGCTGAAGCTCAGAGGAGATCGGGCATTTTCAGTCATGGGCCCTAAACTCTGGAACAATCTGCCCATCAACATTCGACAGGCCACCTCAGTCTCTATTTTTAAATCTCTCTTCAAAACACATCTGTACTCATTGGCATTTAACACAGTGTGATCTCATTTGGTATGTCATTGTTGATGATTGTGTTCATTCATTTTGCTTTTACTTCCTGACATTTAATGCAGGGTGATTTGATATCAACTCTGCACAAACTGTTTAAATGTGTTTTTTTCTTTTAACAAAATCGTTTCAAGTGTTTAACCAGGCTGGTGCTAGAGATGGTTCCTAAACGGTTCTTTAAAAATAAAATTAAGAAACAAAAAAAGGTGGGTGCCTCAACACTCTCTCCTTACTCCCAAGATCCCTACATTCTACTTCACACCCACCTCCAGGAGAGTGGAAATAAAACCCTGTGCTTGGATTTGCCCATGTGGTGATCAATTATTTTAAATATGTGTGTGGTAATTTGGGGTTTCAATTGTTAGCCTTTATGTAGTAGAATTAAAAATGTAAAAATGTACTTTATCAAAGGGCTTTAAAATCAGCACTTTAGGGTTTGTAATCTCTCATACTATCTCTGTTATCAAGCTCAGCTATAAACAGAATTACACATGTCCTTTCCAGGAAGCTAAATTCATCAGCTACCAGAAAGCTCAGACTAAACTGTAACATAATCACATTCAACAGAAATAATAAAAAGATACGAACCTATTATATGCAGTTGATCGTTGGGACTGAAAACTGCATCTAAGATTTGGCTTCCTCCAGTTGTTTCCTGTTCAAGAGCATCTCTACTTCCAATGAAAACCTCCATTTCTTCTTCCTCTGCATCCAGGTGCTGCTGGACCTGCTGTCTCCACATCTGTTAGCTTTCGTTCATCACTATTTACCTTCAACATTAACCGAGTAGTTACAGCTGAATATAACTCAAAATTAAACTAATTTCTCCAGAAGTCGAGAGAAAAGAGGCTTAATTCGTCGATTCAGAACATGGAGAACGCAATGAACGTACGAACCGAACAGCTTCCGGTGCTTGGAGGAAATCACTTCCGTTAGTATCAGTTAGCCTTCAAAATAAGAGCTCGAACAGACCTGTTCAGCACCACAATTGCCCCTAGAGCTGTTTGCTGTTTTTATGCTTTAGGATACCTTGTTTTTTTAACCACTTACATTATTTTGTTTTTAAATTATGTTTTTCTAACTTTATTTATCATATCAGTCATATAGGAAGTAAGGGCGCTTTGAGGAAAATAGGTTAGGAACCACTGATATACCTCATACATATACCTCATACATACAGTATACCTCTCCAAGTGGCTTTAAACATCTGTTAAGTTCCTGGGAAAAACAATGTTTTTGTTCTTGTTTTTTGTTTTATACATCACCTTACAATCTAGCTGTTTTTTTTTCGCTTCCATGCCACACGGCAGTCCAAGATTCATCTTCTTGTACGCATGCTCTACTGATGCTTGGCCATGAGTTGAGGACTCCTACTCAACTCGCATTCGGGCAACCTCCTGATGCATCGGGGACCCCTGCTGAACCTGCCTATGCTAGGCAGCTGCAGGATTGGCTGGACATTGTGCATGAATATGCCAGAAAGCATATTTAGGATGTGGGAGTATGACAGAAGAGGAATTATGACATGCACACCAAGGGTCGGCACTTTGTCACTGGGGAGTTGGTGTGGGTCTACTCGCCCACGCGGAAGAGAGGCAGGTGCCCCAGCTGGACAGTCACTGGGTTGGACCATGTGCAGTCCTGGAGCGATTGGGGAAAGTATGGTATGGTATATAGTTTATTCATTTTAAAAAAGTACAAAACAATTCCATAACAATATAAAAAAAGGATACAAAAGATTTAAAATGAAAGGCAGCAGAAAGAAGAAAAAGTCTTATTATATCTGCCCCTTTTTTTCAAACAATTATTTCAGACATAATAATCTTCAAGTAACAGTACAAAATGAATAGCTTTCTAATTTTTCTAATTCTAATACAAAACACACACTAAGCTACTTCATATACACTTTTTTAACAATTCAGTTTTGATCTTTTTCTTAAATGTACACATTGACTTGGCATTTTTCACATCACTCTCTAGACCATTCCACAATCCAACTCCTTGGATTGAGGTAGACCTTCCCTTCAGACTAGTTCTGAATTTTGGTTTGACAAATATTTCTATCCCCTTAAGATTGTAACAACTTTGTCTTTTAACAAAATTTATTTGAATATTTAATGGTAATTCAAAAAGCGTTCAATACAAAAACAACTGGACTTTATTTGTAACATAAGACGTTTTGTTTTTGTATTGAACGCTTTTTGAATTCATCATGTCCTGGATGACTGAGAATCTTCACCAGCATATTTAATGGTAATGTGTTATTTTGAGCCCTATACATAACTGATAAAATACTATAATCTACCAAATCATGGAACTTCAATAACTTCAGGTGATTGATTTCAGTTGCCTCCACGGGGACGCAGGGTAGCTCTGCACCAAGACCGACTCGCACCTTACAAGGGCATCGCTGCTCCTCAGGACATAGGTTGGGACGAGGGGGTACCAACTGCACTGTCTCCTGCAGAGGGGAGTGCTACTAGCAGTCCGGCAGGCACTGGGGGAGGGCAGGATGGATCTCCACAATCAGGGGCAGAACAGCTGGCAGGGGTCATGACCCCACGGTGGGAACTTTGTCCTCGGGGTCGAAGACTCTACTATGGGGGGGGGGGGGGGTGGTGTTTAGTGTAGCATGTTCTGTAGTTGGACTGTTCCAATGGCATTTCTATATGCATGTTCCTGCAGCAGTTCTGTAGTTGGACGTTCACAAAAAGAGGGAGGGGAAGTGTTTTGGGGGGGAACTCCTGGAGAGAGTTGTCTGTTCGGTGTGGCTGTGGCCTACAACAGCTATTAAAATAAAATTGTTCCTACTTTAACGAGAGTCATCTGTGGTATAAAGTACAATGCATGGGAAGAAAAGGCATTACAATATCTTGTCCTTAAGTTCATTTAATGTAAAATTAAGAATTTGTAGTAGCTAAAAGAACTTCAAGAGAGACAAGTACAAACTGAGCCAACCTAAATTTTAGTATTGTTATTCTTGTTTATGTTTATCATTTGATTATATTTGTTGTCAATTTGATTGTTTTTCTCTCCGCTGCTCCCTTTTGAGGGGTCTCCTCCATCTCATTCTGAATCTGTATATTTCAACGCAGTTTCCTCAGTTTTCCCTGAACTTTTGCATGAAAACTGTGCACTCTGCTGACACTTAAGTCCCCAGATGGCTGAACCACCTCAGCTGACTCCTTTCGATACAAAGGGGTATCTGCATGTATCTAGGATTTCAATCTTTTGGTCAAGATCCAAACCTCATCCCTATATGTGAGGGTTGTAACCAGGGCTTAAATTGAGCCGGGTCCTGCTGGAACACTTTATCTCTTCTGGGATGGATGGAGAGAGACAAAGCCACATTTAACGTTGAAGCACCATCGCCCAAGTCATGATGCAGGCAGTGCAGACAGCCTGAGCTGCGCATAAATTCAAAATGGTATCTGCAGTGATGCAGAGCTCGTCCTGCTCTTCTGGGGAGAAGTTCGGATCTTTAGTTTTTTTTGGATATAATAAACGCTAGCATAGCCACGTTGTTAGTCACTGTGGCTGCCTGAGATGAACACTGATGCGTTCTGTCAGTGAGTCTGGCAGTGAGTTGATCGCCAGGGGATGGAGGGATGGGACGTCATCCGATGTGCCAAGCTGCTCTAACCCCGAAAACAGCCGTCAGGCTGGGCTCCAAAGGAGGGACAGGTGAAAAGCTTTTATCTGTGAGTCCCTCTACCTTCATGATGGGTGCGCGTAGGTGGAGACCAGTGCTCTCAGCTTCAGCGGGTCAACGGCTGCTCCCCGCAAATATGTTGACATGGCTGGAAACTGAGGCCAGACTGGATCTCGCTGGCCAAAGTTTGGAGTGGCAAACTTTCCTGTCAAGTCATTTGGGGTCAAGGGGTTGACTGTTCCGGCACAGTCAGGTCTTTGGCACTCGCCGCCCTCTGAATATTGTCAGGTAGAGCGTGGACGAGCGCGCCAATCACAAGGAGGAGGGTGGTTGTCGACATAAGGATGCCTGGGAAGCCACCTGTTGGTGGCAGCTCCATCTCCAGGCCTCTCATCTGGGAGGAGGGAGCAAGGCTGCTACTGTCTCTCCGTCGGAGGCAGAAGCATCTGAATCCTGCCTCACGTCAAAGAGGTTGAGGACCTTGTCCAGCAGGTAGCTCTCTGGAAGCTGGAACGATTCTCCACCTGAAAAGAAGATGGCAACCAGGCGTTGTTTCTCCTCGAGCAGGAGAAGCTTGCAGGATGGGCAGGAAGCCTGTGGTGTCAGAGCTTGACCAGCATGTTCTGCTCCGAGGCAGCCCTCGCAGATGGCACGCAGATCGGAGCTGAGGATGTACTGCAGGCTGGGCACAGGCAAATCACTCCGCTGGTTGTCATCTTCTGCTCTTTAGTCTTCTTGTGTTGCTTGGTGGCTGAAGAAAATGTGGAGCTGAACCCTGGTCTCAGGGCAACTGTGGGGCCCACACAGCAGGTGGACGTTGACTAGTTTTCAGTGTTGTGCACGGGGGTAAACCCACTAGTGACAGCCTTAAAGGGCGAAGCCTATACAAAATAGAACTACACCTTCAACATTTCAATCACTCTCTAACCTTGTTAGAACATTGTCATTTCTATTTATACCAACCCTAACCTACCACACATCCTTTCAAGCCTGATCCCTTTTTTGCCAGTTGATACAAGTCCTTATCTCCCTCGTTAGTGTCCAAATTCTTTGTTGTGATACAGACAAAAGACTACAAATTTAACATTGGTTAGTATGCATAAATTCATTTTATTTAAATACACAGGTACACTGAAAATTCTTATATACTTACAACTTCAGTTTGTGAATTTTATGTACTTTGCAAAGAAAACGCAGAACAGATGAGTGTAAACAAATTTTATACAAGTGTTTTGGAGACAGATAAATGTTTCTCAGTCAAAAGAAGTGAAATTATGTTGTCCATCACCAGATTCAGGCATGTATTTTATTTTTAATTAAATATATTAGTGTGTGTGGCTTCGGGAGTGGTGGAGCAGAGGTTCGAGAAGGTGGGCCTGTGATCGGAAGATCGCTGGTTCAATTGCCGGTAATGACATAAAAAAAAATGTGGGTGGGATAAGTAAAGCGCCTCCACCCTTATTTGATCAACTCTGGACCCTTGAGCAAGACCCTTAACTCTAACCATCTGCTCCCCTGGGCACCCCAGATAGCAGTTCTCTGCTCCACAAAAAGAGCTGTGGTAGCTCGGTGGTCTGTGGTTGCGTCAGAAAGGGCATCCAGCGTAAAAATAATTGCAAAATATTTGAGCGACTATATTTGCTGTGGTGACCCCTGAAGAAGGGAGCAGTTGAAAAAAGAAAAAAAAAGTGTGTGTATGGATTCTTGCCTATGAGTTCTTTCAAATTACATTTTTTTCCCCAGTGTGGATTCTCGTGTGTTTGTTTAAACTGACCTTACTGGTAAACATTTGGTCACACAAATCACAAGAAAATGGCTTCTGTCCTGTGTGGATTCTAAGGTGTGAATTTAAATGGCTCTTTTGAGTAAACTTTTGTTCACACAGATTACAAGAAAAGGGCTTCTGTCCTGTGTGGATTCTAAGGTGTACATTTAAATGGCCCTTTTGCGTAAACTTTTGATTACACAGATGACAACAAAATGGCTTATGTCCTGTATGGATTCTCAGGTGTGCATTTAAATGGCCTTTTTGAGTAAAACTTTGTTCACACAAATGACAAGAAAAGGGCTTCTGTCCTGTGTGGACACTCATGTGTCTTTTTAAATGGCCCTTGTTGGTAAACTTTTGTTCACACTGATGACAAGAAAAGGGCTTCTGTCCTGTGTGGATCATCATATGTTTCATTAAACTGCCCTTTTCTGTAAACTTTTGACTACACTGATCACAACAAAATGGCTTCTGTCCTGTGTGGATCATCATGTGTCTCTTTAAACTGTCCTTTTCAGTAAACTTTTGGCTACACTGATCACAACAAAATGGCTTCTGTCCCGTGTGGATTTTCATGTGTTTTTTTAAATTACTCTTTTCAGTAAACCTTTTTTCACACAGATCACAAGAAAAGGGCTTCTGTCCAGTGTGGATTTTCATGTGTCTGTTTAAATCTCCCTTTACAATAAACCTTCGTTCACACAGTTCACAACAAAATGGCTTCAGTCCTGTGTGAATTTTCATGTGTCTTTTTAAACAGACATTTTCAGTAAACCTTTGTTCACAAACATCACAAGAAAACGGCTTCTGTCCTGTGTGGATTTTCATGTGTCTGTTTAACTCTCCCTTGTCGCTAAACTTTCGTTCACACAGTTCACAACAAAATGGCTTCAGTCCTGTGTGGATAGTCATGTGTCTCTTTAAACTGCCTTTTTCTGTAAACGTTTGACTACACTGATCACAACAAAATGGCTTCTGTCCTGTGTGGATTTTAATGTGTTTTCTTAAATTGCTCTTTTCATTAAATCTTTTTTCACACAGATCACAAGAAAAGGGTTTCTGCCCTGTGTGGATTTTCACATGTCTGTTTAAATGTCTCTTAAGATTGAACCTTCGTCCACAAACATCACAACAAAATGGCTTCAGTCCATTTTTGTTGTGGACCCTGTTCACAATTGACTCAGAGACCCTGCTGGGTGAAGACTCCCATTCTTCATCAGTGTCTTCAGCTTTTGACCCAGAGTCTGATAACGGTTTTAGTACAGAGTCAGGATTTTTCACATCATTATCCTCTTCATCGTCTTCACTGACTTCAGTTTCTGAAGAATCAGAATCTCTATAAGCATTTAGATCTGGGTTTTTTGAATATTTTTCTCCTTCAACAGTTGATGATTCTATGTGGTCACCTGAGCTGCTGGTTGGAAGATCACAGACTTCAACTTGGCGTTGATGAAGCTGTGAGAATAGATGTTTCTCTTCATCATCCTCACTCTTAAAATGAACTGCAGTTAATGAAAAGCTGGTGACATCTGTCTCCTCCTTCATACTGAGCTGCTCTCCTCCCAAAATGGTCCACTGTTCCTCCTCTTCCTCTTTTATGTGGAGGCAATTTGCATCCTGCTGGTCCACATCAGGCCACTGTTCTTCAGGAGCTTCTTCTTTAATCAGCACTGACTTCTGATAATCTGCAGGAACCACTGGAACGCATGTAAAACACAGTAATGAGGACTGTAGCTTTATATTCACACATACATGATTTGTTTTACTGCTCAGATCACAGTTATTTTTTTCTCCTCCAAACAGGTTCCAGTGCTAAACCAGAGCCAAAGAGTGCTTAGCCCCAGCTCTTTCCTTTTACAACACTTTAAGATGTGGCTTTAGCACCCCACCAACTCAGAACAAACTGTTTAAATATGTTTTTATCTTTTAACAAAAACGTTTCAAGTGTTTAACCTGGTTAGTGCTAGAGATAGTTCCTAAACGGTTATTTGCAAATAAAGTTAAGAAACAAGAAAAGGTGGTGCTTCAACACTCTCTCCTTCCTCCCAACATCCCTACGTTCTACTTCACACCCACCTCCAGGCGAGTGGAAACAATACCTGTACCTGGTTTTGAATGTAACTATTATAAATATTCGTTTGGTAATTTGGGGTTTCAATAGTTAGCTTTTATTTAGTAAAATTAAAAATGTAATTATTTAGTTTATCAATTGGCTTTAAAATCAGCACTTTATGGTTTGTAACCTCTCATACATTATTTAATCTGTTAGCAAGCTCAACTATAAACAGAGTTACACATGTCCTTTCCAGGAAGCTAAATTCATTAGCTACCAGAAAGCTCAGACTAAACTGTAACATAATCACGTTCAACAGAAAGAATAAAAAGATACAAACCTATTATATGCAGTTGATCGTTGGGACTGAAAACTGTATCTATGATTTGGCTTCCTCCAGTTGTTTCCTGTTCAAGAGCATCTCTACTTCCAAGCAAAACCTCCATTTCTTCTTCCTCTGCATCCAGGTGCTGCTGGACCGGCTGTCTCCACATCTGTTAGCTTTCGTTCATCACTATTTACCTTCAACATTAATCGAGTAGTTACAGCTGAATAGAACTCAAAACTAAACTAATTTCACCAGAAGTCGAAAGAAAAGAGCCTTAGTTCGTCGATACGGAACATGGAAAACACAATGAACGTACGAACACAACAACTTCCGCTGCCAAGAGGGAATCACTTCCGTTATAAACTAGCCTTCAAAATAAGACCACGAACGGAACTGTTTTTCAGCACTACAACTTCCCTCTGAGCCGTTTGCGTTTTTTTTTTGTTTTTTTTTTATGTTTTAGGATACCATTGTTTTTAAACAATTATATTCTTTTCTTTTAAATTCTGTTTTCATAACACTGTTTATCATATCAGTCACACGTATTTGTGTTGTATATACACTTTGGGTGCCTCTTGCTTCTCTCATCCCTGGTGCATGATTGTTGGTATCTGAACATTGTTATTGTCCATCAATCAATCATATTTTTGCTAAATTAAAACAATTAGAATAATCAATCCATATATAATTGTTTTTTTTAAATATGTAAATAAACCATAAATGTAAAATTTCTTGTCCTTTAAGTTAATTTCATGTAAAATCAAGAATTTCAAGTAGCTAAAAGAGTGACAAGCATAAACTGAGCCAACCTAACTTTCAGTATTGTTATTCTTGTTTATAATTTGTTACAGATTTGATTATTTTTCTCTCTGCTGTTCCCTTTTCAGGGGTCTCCTCCATCTCACTCTGACTTCAATATTTCAGTGCAGTTTCATTTTGTCCCTGAGACAAACTTCAGTATGAAAACAGTACACTCTGTTGACACGAGTCCCCAGATGACTGAACCACCTCAGCTGACTGTAATAGATATGAAGGAGTAGCTGCTTGTATCTAGGATTTCGATCTTTCAGTCAAGATACAGACCTCATCTATATGTGAGGGTTGGAACATAGGCAAACCATACCATACCATACCATTTTATTTATAGAGCACTTAAAACAGCGACAAGGCCAACCAAAGTGCTGTACAGACAGAACAACAGGTAACACACAAAGCAAAATACAAAATGAAGTAAATCAGAAATATAGACATAAAAACGATGCAGATAATGACGACTAACCAGTGTGGAGCGTACAGGTTCAAAACACAGATCATCTGGTGTTGAAAGCTACCGAATAGTAGTGGGGTTTTAAACAGAACTTGAAGACCGAGAGGGAGGGGGCCTGTCTGACAAGCAGAGGTAACTCGTTCCAAAGTCTTGGTCCTGCTACAGAGAAAGCCCTGTCACCTCTGCGCTTAAGACGAGTTCCTGGAACTGTGAGGAGCAAATGGTCCGCTGACCTCAGGGAACATGGTGGGACATACGGTTGTAGCAGATCAGAGAGATGTGGGGGGGAGGGGGGGGGCAAAACTGTTCAGTGATTTGTAGACATACAGGAGTATTTTGAACTGAATTCGAAAGTGAACCGGTAACCAGTGCAGTGAGGCCAAAACTGGTGTAATGTGCTCTCTTTTGCCTGTACTGGTTAAAAATCGGGCTGCTGCATTCTGGACCAGTTGTAGTCGTGCAATGGAGGTCTGACTGATACCAAACAGGAGTGAATTGCAGTAATCAGATGTAATGAATGCATGTATTACTGTCTCCAGTTTATTTTTGGACAATTTGGGCTTCAGTTTAGACAGCCGCCTCAGTTGGAAGAAACATGATTTAACAATCATGTTTACGTAACTGTTAAGTTTCAGGGAAGGGTCCATTATCACACCCAAATTAGTGACTCTTTGTTTTTCTGACAGGGTTAGAGCGGAAAGGTCGATGCAGTGGTTTGTGATCGTGTCCAGACCAGATCTTTCTACACCCAGACTGACCGAAGAAACATCCTCATTACTCAGAACAAGGCCTCCATCCATCAATCCAACTCCATTCTACCATCACTGGCAAACAAGATGCTCAGATACTTAAAACCCATCTACCTAAAGCCCAGCATACTCCATTCAAAGCCAAACAGTTGACTCACGGTCACGCAATTGTGGGATGTTACTTTACGCACATACCTTTCATAGTCCACGAGACACAGGAGCAGAACTCCTGGGAATCCTATCCCACTGCAGTATACATCACTGCACAGGTTTCTTCCTGCCAGAGTCTCCACTCCGTATCTGTCGTTTGGCCACAAATATATCATGAAAAAAGCACCACACTTTTCAGCTGACAAGACGCCTCCATACACATCTATGCAATCTCCATTCAGTTTTGGCTTTTTAACTAATTTAGTGTGTTTGAACAGTCATACAGCTGAATGTCTGAGCACATTTCCGAATTGACAAACACACCCACAAACTTCTGACCAGTCACATAATTCTTGGCACATGCGCCCGTGAGAAAAAGTTTGACCCGAGCCTTGTGTCCAGCAGGGGTGGGCGAAGCAGCTCTGAGAACAAAATGGCACGATTTTTGTCATGCAGCAACGTCAATGAGAGCGGATTTTGCTGCATCAGATGGAGCATGCAGGGCCCTTGAGGCAGAGACTTTTCCAACAACGTGGGGGCATTGAACCTGTTCTAGAAACTACTTCTTCAACATTTCAATCACTCTCCTCCCTTGTTAAAACATTGTAATTTATATTTATACCAACCATTAACTGCTGCACATGCTTTCAAGCCTGATCCCTCTGTTTTGCCAGTTGATACAAGTCCTTATCTCCCTCTTTAGTGTCCAAATTGTTTGTTGCGATACAAAAAAAAAATAGACTACAAACTTAAAATTGGTTCATATACAATTTAAAATATATATATATTTATTCAGTATTAAACAGGGACACAGAATATTCTTATATACTTACAACTGCAGTCTGTGAATGTTATGTACTTTACAAGGAAAAAGCAATTTTATGGGTGTTGGAAACATAAATGTTTCTCAGTTAAAACTAGTGAAGGTATCTTGTTGATCACCAGATTCAGACATGTAAAAAAATAAAATTAAATAATTAGTGTGTGTGTGGATTCTTGCCTATAAGTTCTTTCAAATTACTTTTTTCCCCAGTGTGAATTCTCATGTGTTTGTTTAAATTGGCCTTACTAGTAAACATTCGGTCACAAAGATCACAATAAAATGGCTTCTGTTCTGTGTGAATTTTCATGTGTTTTTTTAAACTACCCTTTTCGCTAAACCTTTTTTGACACAGATCACAAGAAAAGGGCTTCTGTCCTGTGTGGATTCTCATGTGTCTGTTTAAATGGCTCTTTTCGGTAAACTTTTGTTCACACAAATGACAAGAAAATGGCTTCTGTCCTGTGTGGATTCTAATGTGTCCATTTAAACTGTCGCTTCTTGTAAACCGTCGGCCACAAAGATCACAAGAAAATGGCTTCTGTCCTGTGTGGATTTTCATGTGTTTTTTTAAACTACCCTTTTCAGTAAACCTTTTTTCACACAGATCACAAGAAAAGGGCTTCTGTCCTGTGTGGATTTTCATGTGTCTGTTTAAATCTCCCTTTTCACTAAACCTTTTGTCGCACAGATCACAAGAAAAGGGCTTCTGCCCTGTGTGGATTTTTATGTGTCTGTTTAAATATCGATTAAGATTGAACCTTCTCCCACAAACATCACAACAAAATGGCTTCAGTCCATTTTTATTGTGGACCCTGTTCACACTTGACTCAGAGACCCTGCTGGGTGAAGACTCCCAGGCTTCGTCAGTGTCTTCAGCTTTTGACCCAGAGTCTGATAAAGGCTTCAGCTGAGACTCAGGATTGTTCACATCATTATCCTCTTCATCATCCTCACTAACTTCAGTTTCTGAAGAATCAGAATCTCTATAAGCATTTAGATCTGGGTTTTTTGAATCTTTTTCTCCTTCACCAGTTGATGATTCTATGTGGTCACCTGAGCTGC